CGTGCGCGCCCACACGTGGTATTTTGTGGAAGAGCCACACTCAAGGGGCCAAAGAGCCGCATGTGGCTCGCAAGCCGCAGTTTGCCGACCACTGCCCTAGTAGATATGGAGGTGCTAAGACCTATTGACCAAGTACCAAGATATCCAGTAAAACACAGATCTTTCATAGTTGCTGCCATCACCACCATCTATCCCCAGAACTCTTTCCATTTTGTAAAACTGAAACTTTATACCCATTAAAGAATTCTCCATTTTTCTCTCCTCCGCAACCCTTGGCAACCACCAATCTGATTTCTGTCCCTATGATTTTGACAACTCTAAGTACTTCCTGTGAATGGAATCATGCAGTAAGTAGAGTTCCTGGACCCAATTCCAAAGCATCAGATGCCACAGGTTAAAGGGTCAATCCTGTAAGACTCCCATTCCCCGACACACACTTCAGATGGCGGACACAAGCCCAGGTTACCTGTGCTTCTGACTGACTGGCTACAGAGTGGAGGTTCCAAAGACCCCTCCTTGGGTTCAATTAATCTGTTTACTCACTAGATTACTGATTTATTACAAAGGATATTAAAGGATATGAATCAGCAGCCAGATGAAGATATACATAGGGCAAGGTCCCAAACAAATGAGTTTCTGTCCTCATGGAACTTGGGGCCCGCACCTGGGCACATGGAAGCCTTCTGGCTCCCCAACTTGGAAGCTCTCCCAACACCCTCTGTTTTTTATAAAGGCTTCATTACATAAGCACGATTGATTAAATCATTGGCCATTGGTGGCTGAATTCAATCTCCAGCCCCTTTCCCCAGCCCAGGAAGTCTGGGGTGGGACTGAATGCTCCCAACCTGTAATCACTTGGTCAGCTCCCCTGGCAACCAGTCCCCACCTGTAGGTGCTTTCCAAAACCACCTCAGGAACAAAACAAAAGACACCTTTATCCCTCTCAATGCTTTGGAAATACCCAAGGTTTCTGGAGCTGTGAGCCAAGGATTGTGGCAAAGACCAATATATATGAGAAATACATATTTCTTATAAGTCACAGTATCACATACAGTATTCGTCTTCTTGTGACTAGCTATGTCACTTAGCATAATGTCCTCAAGGTTCATGTGTGCTACAACATATCAGAATGTCCTTTTTTAAGGCTGAATAATATTTTATTGTATATATATATATATATGCCAAATTTTGTTTATCCATTCACCTGTCAATGAACACTTGGATTATTTCCACCTCTTGGGTGTTCAGAATGGTGCTGCTATGAATATGGGTGTGCAACTAACTCTTCAAGGCCCTGCTTTCAATTCTTTTGGGTATATACCCAGAAATGGAGTTGCTGGGTCATATGGTAATTCTATTTTTAATTTTTGGAGTAACCGCCATACTGTTCCACAGCAGCTGTACCATTCCCAACAACAGTGCACAAGGGTTCCATTTTCTCCACATCCTCAACACTTGTTATTTGTGTGTGTGTGTGTGTGTTTTAAAAAAATAATAGCCATCTAATGGGTGTGAGTGGTCCCTCATATATTTTTATTTCCCTTTTACAGATGACAGAACTGAAGCACCAAAAAGTTCAAGAAGGGCTCAAATGTTTTTTTAAATAATTTTATTGATTTTTTTACAGAGAGGAAGGGAGAGGGATAGAGAGTTAGAAACATCGATCAGCTGCCTCCTGCACACCCCCTACTGGGGATGTGCCTGCAACCAAGGTACATGCCCTTGACCGGAATCGAACCTGGGACCCTTCAGTCCCCAGGCCGACGCTCTATTCACTGAGCCAAACCAGTTAGGGGAAGGGCTCAACTTTTAAATGTCAGAGCTGGAATTTGAACTCAAGTAAACTGACCTACTATCAACCAATATGTTAAAATTCTTGTGAGGCAGAAATTACAAAAATCTCTCAAGAAGAAGATAGAGGGGTTCAAGGGCTAACACCCACCAGTAAAGGGCAAAATGATCAGCAGCAAGTTCATTGATCTTTCTCCTCCGAATATTCTCCCAACCCTGGGAGGTTGAACTTGCCAGGAAGTTGAAAAATGTTGTTCTGGGGGTAGGGAACCCCCCCCCCTTTTCTCTTAAATAAGCTTTGTTCAGAATGTCCGTTTGGAACTTTTATTTTTGGAGGTTTCTTATGCCTTGGTTTCTGTATTGTCTAGTCAGGCAACCTAAAACCAAAAGGTTCTCCTAAGGTTCTATCGGCATCTACATCTTGATCATTTTTTTCAGTCACGCTAGGAATAAAAAACGCCTCCCACTGAAAAGGGATCCTGGCCAACCACCAAGTCGCTATGCTCCACTCTGTCTAGATGAGTCAGCAAGAGCTGGTCTCAGAGGAATTCCTTCCTCCAGAGGGGAAGTCAGGGGAGAGATTTTAGAACCTGGGCCTTAGTATCTGGCAAACCGTTCGTTCCTCTCTTGAAACTGCTGGCTGCTTAACATAGACTAAGTCATTCAACATTTCTTAGTCTCCTGCCGACCAGAGATGACAAGCCTGGAGCTGCCGCACAGGGAGCACCTCGCGCGCCCCAGGCACTCAATCAAATGCTTGGAAGTCTTACTACTTTAGTCTCGGGTCCATGCACAACCAAACAGTACATCATAAATATTTACCGCCGAGAAAACACCCATTTATTAAGAACATATGTTCACATTCCAGAAAAGATGCATACTGGGTTCACGACCGCAGTCCAGGCGGCTCCCATCAATAGGTTAGCTTTGAACGTAAACGTGGAAATCCCTCTAGGAGCTCTGAGATGTGGCCCAGCCATTTCTTCAACACAGATGACTAAACAGCACTGAAAACTTCCCCATGGTTAGTTCTTTTCTTATGTGTATAATTATACAAACTATGTAAAAGGAAAATATTCCCGGGATTTGGGAATCCGGTGTGTGTGGACCTGCAACCGAGATGGGTGATACAGTTTGAAAGCGAACCCAGCCTAGGAAGACACGCCCTCCGAGTCCCGGCAGCAGCGGGGACTCGGTCCCAGTCTCAGGGGGTTCCCGCCGTCGCAAGACCGGCGTGGGGGTGGCTCTTCTCCGGCCGGCGACCTCGACAATGAAAGGGGCCGCGGGAAAACACTAGGGACCCAGTCGGCCTCCGCCCCGCCCCTACCTCGCTGAGCCAGCAGGCTGTGTCCCCGCGTTCCGCCCCACTCGGCCGGGTCCGCCGAAGCGCAGCCTGCATCTCCCATGAGCCTCTTCGCCTGTCAGTTTTCGGCACAGAAGTGACACCTGCGCTGAGGCGGCAGTTAAAGCACGAATCGGCGTGGCCAGCGGCTGTGGGGCCCGGGCTGGAGGCGGGACTTCCGCTCCCTCGGGTTACGTCATCAGGAGGCGGAAGTGCGGCGGGGGCGGGAAGGTTGTAGAGCTGCAAGTTGCGCTAGGTTTGCCGGTCTGGAAGTGGTCGCGCCCCCTTGGAGTGCGCGATCCCACGGTGAGGCCGTCCCTGGCGCACTCGCGTCCCCGGTAAGTAGGGCCGCCCGACGGCTCCGGGGGATGGAGGTCTGTGGCTCTGGTGCTGACTGGCTGCTAGTCTCTGTTGCCACTGGGCAGTGGCCTCTCCGCTTTCCTCGCCTCCCAAAGTTTCCCACTGCTCCCCTTCTGCCCTCCACGCCCCCCGGCGGGGACCCTTCCGAGGCGCGGGTCCGGCCCGTCGCGCCCCTGATGGGCGTTTCCCTTCCGCAGATGAGCCTTCCTAACGGGACCGCGCTAGCTCTGCGCTTCAGCCCCAGGAGACGCCTGGCCGGGTTCTGTTCCAAACCGACCTCCGTTTGCTCGCGCTTGTACTTTCCCGGGCTCCCCGGCGGCATTCTCAGCGCGCCGGCAGCGCCCGTCGCTCTCTGCTTCCTGAGCAGTGTTGACGCCCTTAAAAGAGCGCGTTTGTTGTTAAGAGCGCGTTTGTTGTTAACCTTTTGTTTTTTTGTGTGTGTGTTTTTTTAGCATGGTTGCTTGAATGAGACTATTATTTTCCCACCGAGTATGTGTTCCTAGAGGGCAGGAGTCGGGTGTTGCCTATTTGGGATCTCCCTTCGTTTTCCATTTTAGTTCTCAGTGTGCACAGTTGTTGCTGGCTGCATTGTGTAAGTGAAACGAGAGGCATCGTAGATGAGTGATTTTTTTTTTTCTTCCTTCTACTGTGACCGTATCGATGTCATCAATGGATTGATAACGTTTGATGCTATTTGGTAGACAACCTAATGACATATGAAAGACAGCAGTGCTCAATGTTGTTATCAACGTCTGCAAGAATATTTAACCTTCGCGCTGTAATGAAAAACTCGAGCTTGCAGAGTTTGTGCTTTCAGTCTGTGTGCTTTTCAGGTTTCTGTTTCTGAAGAGATGAAGATGTGGCAAACGTTTCACTGTAGGAAGGCTAGCCGTTCCCGACCACTTTTCATGTGTTATTAAAGTATGGTGCATTTTGTATGCATGTGCACGTGTTTTACAGGTGATTGTAAAGTGCTGACCACTTGCCACTGAACATAGTTGAAACAGAAAATAGGAAGATGGCAGCAAACCCTTCAGGACAAGGTAATGCATGCTGGAACGTATTTTGTTACTAGGGACTTTCCCCCTACATAGTAAACATATTTTAATAGAAAATTTGGCATAGGGCAGTTATTGTAGCCAGAATAAAAAATAAATAGCAAAGTAACACCCCATTATTTAAAGCAAGTCCAACACTGTATCAGATATATAAGTTCCTTAATGGCTATTAATCCTATCTTTTAATCTGTGTTAAGATTATTCACATTGTAAACCTTAGGTCCTCCTCTAACATCTGTTTTCTTGCTCTTTACTGGAAATCAGAACCACTTTTAAAGAAGTTATATTTTCACCAAGCTATATCCATACCTTTATCTTCATTTATTCTTAAAATTTTATGACACATTTCGCCTGTATTAAGCTAGCTCTCTAAGGCAAATCAAGTTAGACACATCCTAAAGAAGTTTTTATTTAAAAGATAAGATTTCATCTCTACAAAGTATTAAATCCTACTTTGTAAGTAGTTTCCTGTTAAAAAAAAACTTAAGGCAAACTTCTGTTTCTTTTCCATATCAAGTTTAAATTCCTGTTTGACCCACCATACTTTTTTGTTACTCATCTTTGGTATGACCTGTTCTGATTTTTAAAAATCTTAGTTTTGTCTTTTTTTAAAAACTGATTTCAGAGAGGGAGAGAAACATAAATGATGAGAGAGAATCACTGACCAGCTGCCTCCTGCACACCCCCACCCAGTATTTAGCTTGCAACCCCGGGCATGTGGCCTTGACTGCAATCGAACCTGGGACCCTTCAGTCCGCAGGCCCACGCTCTGTCCACTGAGCAAACCAGCTAGGGCAGTTTGTTATCTTAGTCTTCATATAAATGGAATCATAAAGTGTGCACTTGTCCGTATCCAGCTTCTTTCACTCCCTCTGTGAGACGTATCCATGTTGTGCCATCTACTAGTAGTTCATCCCTTTTTATTTCGGAGTTCCATGGTATTAATTGACCACAATTCATTGAATCATTCTTCTGTTTGCAGGCTTTGGGGTTTTCTGTTTGGGCCATTGTGAATAAACCGCTTTGAATATTTGCTGCAAGCCTTTTTGTAGATATTTGGACGAATATCTAGGAATGGAGCAGCTCAGTGTATAGTTAACTTGATAAAAAACGGGCAAACATTTTCCCAAAGTGCTTGTACCATTTGCATTCACTCCAGCAAAGTGTGAGAATTCTGGCTGCACCACGTGTAGCCTTGGCTGCTGGTCTTTTTTGGGGGAGCCACTTTGGGGGTGTGAAGTGTCCTGTCATTGGAGTAGTAACTTGCATTTCCCCGATGACAAATGTTGAGCACTTTTTCCACATACTTATTGGCCATTGTAAATCTTCTGTTGTGAAGTGTTTGTTCATGTCTTCTGCTTCTTTTTAAAAACTGGGTTATGTCTTTTTATTTTGAAGTTTTTTTAGAGTCTGGATACTGGTCCTTTGTCACTGCTAATTGCATTATCTGGGTCATCTTGGAGTTGGTCTCTGTTGACCGCACTTTTTTTTAGTATAGGTCACACTTTACTTTTTCTTACTATACTTAGTGATTTGTTAATGGATACTGGATATTCTAATACATTGTAGAGATCCTGGATTCTGTTGTATTCCCCTGTAATGTGATCTTTGTTCTAGCAAACGGCTTGGCTCAACTCTTACTCCAGATTGTCTCCCTTGTGTTGGGCGGCAACTGAAATCTCTGCTCATTCTTTTAGCTTCCAGCTGCTGTTTATTGCTGGGCTCCCTGGGCTCTCCCCATATATGTGCGGTTTACAGAAAGCAAAAACTGAGGGTGGACGTCATAGGCATGTTTTAGGCTTTCCCCTTCCTGCCTTCCCCTCTTAAGTCCCTCCCCTAATATGTGGCTACTCTGCCAGACCTGAACTCTGTCCTCTGATACCTCAGTCAGTAAGGTGAGGCCGTCCAAGCTGTTTGTGGATTGAGGAGTGCTTCAGGCCAAAGGCCACGGATTCCCAAATCTCACCAGTTGCAGTTTCTGCCCAATTTTGGTCAGTCTCTCATGCCTTCAAATAATAATAGGGTTACTGTAACCAGACTACTCTGCCATTCCTGGAAGTTGGAAGCCCGCTGAATCTATTTTAGTGTGTTAGTTGGATTTAGGGTAATCTGAGGGTTACATGAGTTTTATAGAAGTGTAGTAAAAAGCTAGTTGCAGTCATAGCTCTACCAGCTGTAACCAGCTAATACTGTTCTGTTCTCTCAAATCACAGGTCAGTATTCCCCTATGGTCTTTGACCTCTTTTCCAAGTTATAAGGACTTATATTGAAAATAATTGAAATTAAACAAAAATGAAAACTAAGTGAAGTCTAATTTGAAAAGAAAATATGCTAACAACCACACAATGCAGTCCTAATGAAAATGAAATTTTAAATGATCTCTTTGTTCTAGTAACACAAATACATGAGATTTACAGTTTGCTGGTTACTCATTTTTTAGCAGTTGCAATAAAACACAATCATTTTTAGTGCGGCCTTTGATTGATCCACAGTCAAATTCACCATGAAGCACAGTCAAAACCACTTTGGCTTTTGTTACTGTTTTATCAGAGATTTTGTTGGCGTCATGGAGCTGCTGCTTGCAGTTAGCCACCAGCAGAGGGAGTCCACGTCATGTTCTGTAGACTCCCAGACTCTCGATGAAAATATAAGCCAAACCAATGGACATGGACAACAGGGGGATGGGAGCATGAGTTTGTGTGTGTGGGGGAGGTTGGGGGCTAATGGGGGGTGATGAGGACACATTTGTAATACCTTAACTAATAATAAAAAAATATATTAAATTCTTACTTATTTGGATCTATTGCATTTTACTTTATTAAATATTTCTGCACTGCTTATGAGTATAGGGACTACTTATTATGGGGATTGAATGTCAAGTGCCATAATTATCTTATAGTGATAACTGAAAAAAACAATGACTAAACAATTCTTGACCCAACATTATAGTATATTAATGTCTCTGGTGTAGGGGATAGAATCCTATTGTGCCCAGTAACCCCTTTCAGATCTAGCCGCCTATCATAGTGTAATATGCTGAATTTCATAAGCTCTTGGCAGACAGTTCTTGATGTCTCGTAGTCTTAGCATCCATAGTGTGGATTTAACAGCGGTCGCCAACTGGTGGTCCGTGAGGTCCAAAAGGTTGGCGACCGCTGGTGTGGAACATTATTCTTGGATTGAGAATTTTAATATATAAAGGCAGATCCTCAAACTGGAATTTGTCCAAGGTACCATTCTTGTGTAAGGAGTCTTTCATTATTGGTAATATTGTATCAAGGTCCTGTGATCAAGTGGTGGTAGTTGGATAGGTCTAACCTGAGAATCCTGGTAAAATACTGAGTAAAGAATGTGAATTCTTCTCTTTGATTATTTTATAATTATCTCAAAATGCTTGTAGAAATATCTATAAACCATGCAGATCAAGTGATGGGAACTGTTGACTGGGAGCCACTCTTGATGCTCTTAGCTGTGATTTTAGGGTGCTGTGTAAGGAAGTGGGTGGCTTAACTCCTGGGAGGTTGTCTTGGTTGACCGCAGACTCAAGTAGGAGTCTTACCTAAACCATCTATGGTCCAGAAGAAAGCAGATTTACCCTCCTGGCTTGTACTAAGGTATGCTACTTTTGAATTTAGAGTTTGTTCCAGTGCATAATTTGCTTTCCTGGAACTTTTTAGCTTAGCTACAGTTCCCTTTATCTACCCCTTTCTCCTGTACTTAAACAGAAAAGTACAGAGCTACACTTTACAAACAGACATATACTTACTAGTAGAAACAAAACACCTAAATGTTAACACTAACTTAATTATTAACATAGTAATAATTATTTCTACCCTTTCTTTACAACTGTCTTTTTATGTCCTTTAACTTTCCTTTTTGCATCTTCTTGTGAATTCATGGCTTCTAGATTTGATTTGTTCCATCTAGCTATACTTATTATTCTCTCTAATGTCCCATTGTGTCAGCCTGGCTAATCTCAAACTGGCTTCTCTGTCCTTTGAGCATATCCTGAGCCTTTAAAAAAAAAACCCCAAAACTCTTCTTGCTTTCTGACAAGATATTCCAGGTCCATCTTGATTATTTTCCTTCCCTATGACATGGAACTAGTACTCCCCAAGAACCCTGGTTTCTTTTCACGGAGGATAGTATAAAATATTTTCTTGTGAACAAATTAATCTTTAGGGAATTTATATTTCTCTAAACAACACTTCAGTTCTTTCCAATGTGGTAACTTTTTTTGCTCATCATATAACTTAAACACTACTGGATTTTTTACTTTTCTTTTCAAAAAATTTCTATTTTATATTTATAGTACCTCTAAATCTCTAAAAAGATGTAACTATATAATTCACTTCTAAAAATACAATAGGCTCTTCTGAAAAAAAGGAAAAAAAAATCTTGTCCTATAGTTGAAAATATAGCTGGCGGTGTAACTTGCTTTAAATATATGCAACTTCATATATACACATGGGAGAGTACCAGTTTTTCCCTTTTTAAAAAAAATTTTTTTTTTTGTTGATTTGAGAGAGAGAAAGGGCAGGAGAGGGAGAGAGAGAAACATTGATCAGCTGCCTCCTACATGGTCCCCATCAGGGATTAAGCCTGAAACCGGGGCATGTGCCCTGAACTGGCAGCCTCTTGGTGCAGGGATGTTGCTCAACCAGCTGAGCCACACCGGCTAGGCCCAGTTTTCTTTCCCATTGAAAGCATTCTTCACTTTACAAAGAACTCACTTTTGGATTCCTTTAAATAACACATTCCAGTATATACCCATCCGTCCATAAATATCTTACTTTAATTTATATTACATGACTTTTAGGGAAGTTTCTAGTGTATGAAATCAATAATACTCATTTTCTGAATTTCCCATCGAATATATTATCAGATCATTTATACACATTTGTTTATTTGGATAACAGGCCAACCATGAGGTAGTAAATAGATCGACAATAATATAGCCTTCCTTAGTGGACTAAGAACACTGACAATCAAAGAAACTATATTAATTTAGAAATTATATATTAATTTTGAACCTATAGTTACTAATTTTCACACCTGATTTCCATAGTAACAAGGAGTTAACTCTAGCATCCTGTGCTCTGATTGTCAAACATGTATGAATTTTTTTAAGGAGGTTATTCCTTCTTAACGAAGCCAAGAAAGACATGTGGTTTTTATGAGAAGTTGGTGAATTATATACGGTTGTTGTTTTTGTAAGTAAAAAATGGTCAGATACAGGCAATTGAATAAATTTAACTTAATACATAAATTAAAAGTTTTCTTACTATATTTATGTAATATTCCCAGTTGTATAAAGATGAGTTGCTATTTATGGTTTGTGATGGCCAGTCTTATTAGAGGTCTAAATTTGTAAGAAGTTACTTAACCGTTAAAAATACTTTTTTGTGGCCTTTATTTCTATAGCACCTTTTCATTTTTTTAAAAATATATTCCATTGATTTTCTACAGAAAGGAAGGGAGAGAGATAGAGAGTTAGAAACATCAACGAGAGAGAAACATCGATCAGCTGCCTTCTGCACATCTCCTACTGGGGATGTGCCCGCAACCGAGGTACATGCCCTTGACCGGAATCGAACCCGGGACCCTTCAGTCCGTAGGCCGACACTCTAGCCACTGAGCCAAACTGGTTTCGGCATAGCACCTTCTTTGTAAACCCCTTTGGCAGATTGCCTTGGCAATCAGTTGCTTTGGTATTAGTTGAAGTAAAGGTCTAAAGCTGTGGTTTGTAAACTACAGTAGTTTCCTCTTCTTCATGAGGGAATGTTCCAAGACCCCCTGGATACCAGAAACCTCAGATAGTACTGCGCCCTATGTATAGTATGTTTTTCCTATACATAATACCTATGAGAAAGTTTACTTTAAAAATTAGGCCTAGTAACAAATTAACAACCATAATAGAATAGAATAGTTATAACCATACACTGTAATAAAAGTTATGTGAATGTGGTCTCTCTCAAAATATCTTACTGTACTGCATGTGCAGCCCGGATACACTGGACAAAGGGATGATTCACATCCTGGGCGGGATGGAGAGGGATGGCACAAGATTTAGCTGAAAATGCTGCAAACTCAGTGTATATATTTTGTATGTACATGTTGGAATTGAATTCAGATTTTTAAAACATAGTTTGTTACTGCTTCTGGGCCAAGATCTTCTGGAAGATCAAGCCCATCATTAAGTATCGATACAGAACATACTCTTTTGTACCCTATCAGTTATGCTCCATTTCTTTCTCAGAATTGCTTTCTAATCAGCTGCAATTCTTTTACTTATTCCTTGAAAGATTGTGTGTCATTTCTGAATGAAAGCAGTTGAGAAAAAGAAACATTGTTTTGATCTAAGTATGTCTAATGCTTTATTCTTCCATGAAAGAGACTTTCATAAAGAGGCCTAAAAGTGAGAACTAAGAAAATCTCCACTCCCAGAGATTGACTGCGCAGGATAGAGGTTAGTCCTTGCAGTATTGGGGCCTCAGAGATTTTGTTAAAAAACAAATGTTGTTATCCATACCTTGGTGATTAAAATTCCTTAGAATTGAATCTTAAAAGTCCTTGGTCAGCATTATGCTTTGCATATATCCATGTATTAAGCTGTTACAGTTGCTGGGAAATAGCAGTCGGGGAACGGTAACCATCTAAAGAGACTACTTATTAGTGAGTTCATTATCATGTTAGAGAAGAGAATTTTGCTGCCTGGGTTTCAGGATGGCCTAAAATAGCTCTAAAATGTTTTTTATTTCTCTTTTTCTTCTCCCAACCTTCTTCTTTTTTTAGGTTTTCAAAACAAAAATAGAGTTGCAATCTTGGCAGAATTGGACAAAGAGAAAAGAAAATTACTAATGCAGAACCAGTCTTCAACAAATCATCCTGGAGCTAGGTACCGACGAATAATGTGTTTTTTAAGTTCAGTGATATAAAAAATATCTTAAGTTCAGTGATATAAAAAATATCTTGGACAAAATAATTCAAGTGGGTTGGCAATGGTTTGTTTCTTTAATATTGGAATTTACATTATATTTTGTTCCCTAGCTAAATCTGAAAAAATTAGACTATTTAATTGATTCTATTTTAAATATTTTAATTCTAATTAGAATATTTAATTTTCTCTACAGCCTGCTTTTATGAAAAGATAAGAGTTTTGTATGAGTTTTGTTTGTAACTTAAATTATTCCAGTGTCCCACTTTTTAAAAAATATATTTTTATTGATTTTAGAGAGGAAGGGAGAGGGAGAGAGAGATAGAAACATCAATGATGAGAGAGAATCATTGAACAGCTGCCCCCTGCATGTCCCACACTGGGGATCAAGCCTGCAACCCAGGCATGTGCCCCAACCGGGAATTGAACCGTGACCTCCTGGCTCATGGGTAGATGCTCAACCACAGAGCTATGCTGGTTGGGCTCCAGTGTCCCACTTTTTTAAGCATTCTGCAAAGTAGGTAAAGTTATATAACTTAATGCCCTTTATTCAGTTTGTGCCATCTTAAATCTCTTCCGTCAGATATATTATCCCATCCAGCCACTACCCTAACTATCCCATCTTTTCCAGCCAGACCTCTTATAGAGTTGTTTATACTCATCTCTGCTTTCTTACTTATTTACACCCCAACCCACTACCAGGTGTCTCCTTCCCACTCCTTAGAATAGGTTTGAGCCTACTTCACTTGCAACCACCTTGTGGCTAAAACTGCTAGACCAGCCTTTTCTAGTTAGAGACCTCACATTATTTGACACCACTGATCACTCTCTCCTTAAAAATACTCATTCTTTGGCTTCCATTCACTCACTGTTACACTGTCTTGCTTTCTTCTGCAGACATTTCTCCACTGCCTATCTCTTGAATGTTGATGTTCCTCAGGGTTCTGTTCTAGGCCCACTTTCTCAGTCTACATCTTTTCACCAGACATTTGCATCCACTTTCACAACCTGTTAATTATGTGGGGGTAACTTTTACACATTTGCATTTTTAGCCTAGTCCTTTCTCCCCAGCTCCAGGCTGCCTCCTGAACATCTCCACTGTGATGTCCTCCAGGCATTTTAAACTAGTAGTCACCAAACTGAACTCATCTTCCCTTCCTTTAACTAACTACTTAATATTCTTGTGTGTGTGTGTTTTGTTCCAGTGAGAGGTACAGATCTACTAGTTATCAAAGTCAGAAATTTGAATTTTAATTGTTTATCATTTAATTACTGTCTCCAAGCATTTACCATTCTCTTATGTTTACACTTTGAAATGTATTTCAAATCTGTCCACTTTTCATTGCCCTGGTCCTGGCACTGTCATTTCTTTCCTCGTTACTATAACTGCTTTGTCACTGGATTTCCTGTAGTCTCAAATACATTTGTCAGTCATGTCGGTTAGGAGATTTTAATCTGGAAATAGCAAAAAACCAACAGTTTCCATACACATTGGGGTACATGTTAATCAGGAATGTGAAGATAAGGTGGTTCAGAGCAGTTTAATGGTGGCACAACTCTGTCAGCAGTGATCCAGCTTTCTTTCATCTTCCTTCCTGCCTTTCTCCATGAGTCCGCAGCTCCCTTATGGTCAAAATATGACTGCGATATCCTAGTCCTCACCTCTGCACCAAGCCACCTGGAGAGGCAAAGGCCCGGAGGTTCCTACCCTGTGTTCCTTTTGTAAAAGTGAGGACTACAGTCTCAGGAGCCTCAACAGACTACCCATCAAATCTAGTTGCTCAAAATGGTGTACCTTTCTCTTGCCTAAGCCAGAAACCAGCGAAGGGGATGGCATTGTCTTACACCAGAGTTCTCTCCTGAGGGATGAGCCTGGCCTGCCCCGAAGCATGAAGTCACTGATAATTGAACTAAGATCGGTTCCATTAGCAAGAAGAGAACAGTGTTGAGGTGACCGGCACTGTCTGCCATCGCAGTGTCTTTCTGAACTGCCAGGTGGCGCTTCTGATCGTGTCGCTCCTCTGCTCATGGCATTCCTTGGAAGTCTCCCTTTACCGCTAGGATAAGGTCTACATTTCTTAAGTTCTTTCACGAAGCTCTTCATATCCTTGCACCTACCTTCCCCTCCAGCCTCATTTTTTGCCAACCCTCTTCACCCTTCCCCAACCCCGACCTCCAGTCCTACTAAACTGTGAGTTCTCCAAACATGTCAAGCTCTTCTGCCCTGGGCCCTTTTGCGTGCCACACCTTCTGCTCGAAACTTTCAAGTCTTCAATTTTCATCATAAATGTAACTTACAGTAGACTGGAATCCCTCAAATCCGTTTGAAAGTAGGGGACCATAAATCATCAATAAAAAGGAGATAATTTGAAGCCCCAGTAAACAACAGGCTTTCTTCGTGTATATTAATGAAGACAGTGGGAGAAGGAAAAACATATTCTAGAAGGTCTTTTTTTATCCCAACATATTATATAATGAAAAAGTGTGATTCAGAAGGAAGGAAGCCTGTATGTGGAACAGCCACCTAACTGAGATTCCTGTTTCAGCATCGCCCTTTCGAGACCCGCTCTTACCAAGGACTTCCGGGACCACGCTGAGCAGCAGCATATTGCCGCCCAGCAGAAGGCAGCGTTGCAGGTGAGCAAAGTGTAACCCGTTCTTGTCTCTCTGAGGAGTCCTGGGCCTTAGAAGCCAGCACAATTCCTGTTTTGTATTTCAGTGGAGCAATATCAATAAAAATGTTCCACACGTAATTGCAGTGGTTTGCTGATGTTCAATTGTGCCCAGAGGATTTGAAGGACCAAAACAGAAGTAATGAAACTATCTTTTATGGTGTCGACTCGGTCATGATTGATTCTGTGCTGTACCTGGCAAGGGATTGCTTGCACACGAGAGTTTAGGGTATTTGGATGGACAGAATGATCTTAAAAGCTGAACTGGCTAGTTTAACAGTACATATATATTTTTTCAAATTAGACCCTTTAATGGTCTTACTGGTTTATTATTGTTGTGTGAATTCTTTTTGTAATGTTTGCATGGCTGTTTTAAGCATCCTCTTACCATAGGAATGTGATAATCCATCAGTTTAAAAATATATTTTCTTCATAGTAATAAACAGTTTCAGTACTATTCCGATCTTGGATAATTTAAGGTTCCCAGAGACATCATTATCTGTGCTTTTAAACCTCAGAATTGGAAGGGACATTAGAGATCATCTCACCTTTTGTTATTGTTGTTGTTAATCCTCACCTGAGGATATTTTTCCATTGATTGTTAGAGAGCGGAAGGGAAGGAGAGAGACAGAGAGAGAGAAACATCAATGTGAGGGAGACACATCAATTGGTTGCCTCCCACACGTGCCCTGACCGGGACCGGGGATCAAGCCTGCAACTGAGGTTTGTGTCTTTGACTGGAATCGAACCCGGGACCCTTCAGTCCACAGGCCACAGTGCTGTATCGACTGAGCTAAACAGGCGAAGGGGAGATAATCTCACTTTAGACGACCTAAAAACAGTCCTTTCTTTAGTGACAGAGGAAGTCACTGGTGGTTTTCTGTTATTTATATTCCAGCATTCATTCATCTGCCTTTTCCCCCTTCTTCTAATTACTGCCCTTCTTTCTCAAGTTCCTGCTTTGTTGATCAAAAGCAGAGTACTTTAGGACCATTGTTGCTAGTTTCCCTCCATTTCAAGGAACAAAGTATATCATTTGTGTTTTTGACTCATTTATTGACTGAAAAGAATCATTGGGGAGAAAGTATGTATGATAGATGAGTACCTGGTGCAACTTGTTAATATGAATTCTTTTTTATTGCCCATCTCCTGGGTATTTTAACAAAATTAGCACAAGCACTGATTGTTAAAATGAATTTGGTCTCAAAAAAAAAAAACAAAGAAAAAAAATTTGATCTCAAGCACTCAGAAAAGATAATTAATTTTAATGCCTTGGCTGAAGAATTATGACTCTTAATAGCTTACTTGCCTTTTTTTAACTCTTTCTCTTTTTAGCATGCACATGCCCATTCGTCTGGATACTTCATAACTCAAGACTCCGCATTTGGGAATCTTATTCTTCCTGTTTTACCGCGCCTGGACCCAGAATGAAGAAATTATTTGTAATGACATTGACTTTGTAATATCAAACGCCAAAGCTACTATCGTTCAGTGCTATACAAGCTGTGACTTTCAGAATCGGTGAACTTAATACTTTTTACTTCCTTAAAAGAAAGGTATGTGTAAGTGAAAGCAAAAAAAAAAAAAAAAAAAAAGGTAACCAGGATGATGAGAGCTCTGGAAGCTGTATTATCTAAGGACTGATTATGCTACTGTGACTGTAACTTATTTGTAATGCAGTTTGATTTTAAGGCTAAATCAGACTCTGAATTAGATGGTCACATAAACTCACCTCCCATCCCTAAGCCCCCAAATAGTTGGACTGAGTACATCATGTCCACAAGAGACTTATAAAAGCCATTTATAGTACTTTAAAGAAATGAGGGTGCTTTTTAAAATGTGAACCAAAAGGTTTAAATAAGTTACATTCATATTTGCTGTGCATAGAATTGGTATCAGTGTACCTTTTGAGTTTATAGTCAACATGTCATCCTGAAATATTCTTTAACTCATAACTGTTCCTTATTTTCAGTTTTAAAAGAAAAACCAAGACTAAGTTTCTAAATGAAACATCATTTATAAACCTATGCCACTATAAATTAGGTGACAAAATACTATTAAAAATAAATATATGAAATGTGGTGGTTTTAAATTTTATACATGCTCTTAGTGTTACTACAATGGTGGACCTGCATGGTTTTATTGTCTGTTTTTGTTCTAATTCGAAACATATGCAAGCTGGGCCCCTTTTTAATTCCTTTAAGAAGTTGGGTTAAGCAGCTTGTCAGTATGACACATCTTTAACAGAATCTGGAGTGCTTGTTTAAATATGCAGTCCCTACAGCCTTACCCTAGTCCTATGGAATCAGAAATCTCTTAATACAAAATAAAGTCTGAAAACCATGGGTTGGAGAATTCAGTTTTCATGATACATGTTTATAAATTCATAGATCTGTAGGTCTCTGAAACTTAGAGATCATTTAGCTAAAATCTACATTTTTTTTTTACTTCTAATACTATTGAATTTATTTTATACTATATCACAGGTACAGTATTTTATATACTGCTTATAACTGACCTCATCTTGGCCTTGAGTCCCCATCCTCTCTAGTGGTAGGACAAAATTTAAACTTAAATTTCCAGTTTGGGTCAGTATTTAATCAAAGTTCATCTCCCTTTTCAATAAGTTCCTTCTCCTTCCCTAGACATTTGCACCAACCACATAGCCCCATCTTGCCCAAACTAATTAAAGCAGAAGTGGACAAAAGAATTGGCTGTGCCATTTAGATGCTTTCTCTTGAAAATTTGAATTGATTTTCTTCATTTGGGTGAGTTGGCAGCTGTCCCCCTTGTAATGGTCACCATTGCGGCAAAGGTGCCCTGACTCCTGCTGCTGAGCTAGCTCCCTGGGGGCTCGGGCTCCTGTCCTGCCTCAGGTCTCACCAGCTTCCTTTAATGGTCCTCACTTTTTTGAATGTGACTAAGTTTCCGTTCTTTGTGATACACGACCTACATCCATGGTTCTAAATCTATCTACTTGATACTAGGGAGATAGAAAATTTGGATTGTAGTTTTTATACTATCAAAGCCTCTACCTAAGGTGTGACTTTTATAACTTAGGTCAAAGAGATCTTTCTTCCAGTGATATCTTTTCTAGTGTCCTACCCTTTTAAATAGATGTTGCCTAAATCATGCACTCCTGGCTAGTAAACACTTTCTCCCCTGCTCCTTTAAATCATTTTCAAATTCAACTCAATTCCATAGGTATTACTTAAAATCTACTCTGTAAAACCCTGTGCTTCGTGGAGGGAGGTGGGTATGATGAGTGATACCTGCTCTTAAAGAGTTCCCAGTGGCAGAGCCTACTCGGGCGCAGCAGTAATGCTAACGGAAGTCGGAATGCAGTGAGTCGAGGGGGGGAGCATCCTGGAGCCTGCAGCAGTCTAAATAGGCCTAGAAGTACTGGCGTGATTTTACCTGGCAAGGAAGGGAGAGCTGCTCCAGGTCAAGATTGCATAATCAGAGAAGCAGGAACTAAGGCACTTGCGAGGACGACAGAGGACGTGGGAAAGGGCAGCAGTGGACTCCGTCAGAAGCCCTGAGATAAAGTTTCATTATTGCTTCCCTTGGATTATGGGTGAATTTGCCTAATTCGCTTTATCTCTCTTTACATGTCACTCCATCTGCAATATAGGAAGAGAACACACTTTGTCTACTTCATTAGAGTGACAAAATGTAGTAATAGGAGGTTTTGTTCCTTGAATCTTGTTTCTGTGTGTTTGTGTATGTGTCTTATGGTGTTTATTGTATATTCCATCAGTAGATAAGATCTCTGAAGGCAAGAATTTTTGTTTCCCTCCCTCTTTGTTTACTACTGTATTCTGCTTAGAATAGCATTTGGTATACAGTAGGTGGTCAGTACCTGCTTGTTGAAGGAAGGGAGAAAGGAAGGACTATATATGACCTGGGTGGTGATGTAAAGGGTATTGTTGTTTTTTACTGTGTGTCAAGGTAATAAAGTTTTGAAAGCCACTGCTACATAATACAGATGATAGTGCTTTGTATGATTCTGGAATAAAAACTGAAATGACACAGTTTCAAAGGCACATATTTTTTCCTGGACAATCTATAAGCTGTCTTAAGTTGTCTCAGTTCTTTGCTTCACTTTAGCAACAGAATCTCTTAGTCATCTACTCAGCATTTATTCTTCTTTTGCCCCTACACCCTTCCCCAGTACAGCCAGCATGCTTCAGGGGAAGCTGACCGCCCAGCAACAGGAGTGGGCCTTACATGCTCCTGACCAGTCAGGGAATTCATTCCCTTTTGCTGGTCAGCACATGGTATTTCACAGACCGCAGGAACTAGTTCAGCATTGCACGTGTTACCCACATTCAACCCAAATGAGACTCCAGGAGAGGATTGTTGGGTTTATGGAAAAGACATATTCTCACATTTCTGAGAACACTACCCAAAAGGTTTCTCTCTAGATGTGTAAAGGCAGTGCATGTATATACCTATGCTGCCCCGTTTACCATGGGGTTACGTGCCAATAAACCCATCATAAGTTGAAAAATCTAAGTAGAAAATGCATGTACACAGCTAACCTACCAAACAGCATACCTTACCCAGCCTACCTTTAACAGCATACCTTGCTCAGCCCACAACACCTAAAACACGCTGGCAATACAGTGCACTGCCGGGTATTGTTTCTTTGCTCTCTTGATTGTGTGCCTGACTGGAGCTGACCCCCATGACCACCATGCTGCAAGGAAGCCCAAGCTAAGCACGTGGAGAAGCCATACGTGGAGCACTGAGGTCCCAGACATGTGAGTGAAGCCACTTTGGACCTTCCTTCTCAGCCCAGCCACCAGCTGAATGCAGCCAAGCGAGTGACCCCAATTGATGCCATCTAGAGCAGGATTGCCCAGCTGAGCAGAATTTCCACCGAATTGTAAGAAATAATAAATTGTTGCTGTTTTAAACCTCTACATTTTGGAGTAGTTCATGATGCAGCAAAATATAGTAACACTCTTGATCTCCAAACTCCCATATGCATTGCCAACATGACATCTCTACTTGGAAGTCTAATGGACATCCATGTCCAAAATCCGACTCTTAATCTCTCACCTTCCCAGCATGTTTTTTGCCCAGCATTTCCCACGCAGTAAAAGGCTACTTGCACAGCTGTACACACGGTAGTCATTCTAGACGCCTTTCTCACGCTCCTCTTTCAGTCTAGCAGCTCCATAATCCCACGAATTCTCACCAATTCCTCTGCTATCATTTTGCTCCAAGCCACCATCATATCATTTACCTAGACTACTGCAATAGCCTAACTGGTCTTTCTTTTCCACATTTGTCCCTGCCCTTCAAGGTTGAGAATATTCAGTACAGCAGCCAGAGTGATACTTTAAGAATGTGAGACACATGACCCTGGTTGGTGTGGCTCAGTTGGTTGAGCGCCATCCCATGCACCAAGGGGTTACCAGTTTGATTCCTGGTCAGAGCACGTGGCTGGGTTGCTCGCTTGATCCCCAGTAGGCAGTGAGCAGGAGGCAGCTGATCAATGATTCTCTCACATCATTGATGTTTCTCTCCCTCTCCCTCTCTGAAATCAATGAAAGATTTTTTTTTTTTTTAAGGAATTGAGCTGCGACCCGTTCACATGCTTCTCCAGCACAGTCTTCTGGAACTCTTCTCAGGCCACAGCTGTTACTGCCATCGGGAATCTCCGGGAGATTCAGAGCCTCACAATGTAGCAACTACAGTGAAGCTGGCAGCCATAGTTCTGTTAAGAAAACAGGGGTGTGTGCCAGCCCCTCATGCTCATTACGGAGCTATTAATTCAAGTTCTCTTAGGAAAGCATCCAACAGTGAAAATACAGGCTCTGAGCAGCCACAGGCAGGAGCTCAGCCCTCCAACCAGGGAGGCACAGACCTTTAGAGAACTGAGTTCTCCCAGTTTAGTCACTTTCTGAGACAGATGCCAAGCTGCCCGCTTTGATCTGCTAGGCTCCTTGGGAATGGAGATGGCCTGCAGGGGACAGTGGTCAGCCTGTAGGCTGTTCAACATTGCTAATTTCTGAGGCTGCAGAATCCAAGAGGACTAGCTGCTCCTTCGAGAAGGAGCTCCCATGTACAGCATGCCAGAAGAGAACTAAAAGAATGAGTAAGACTTACAAAAGGATGGGGTCGTGGTAGGGGAGCAGGTGGAAGGAAAAGGGCATCCCAGGCAGGGAGGGAGGGGATGGTGTAACAGGAGGAGCCAGCAATCCACGTGGAGGGTTTGGAGCTTTATGAGAGAGCCATTAAAGAGGAAGTGGTAGAACGAGGCTTAGATTTTCCTAGGAAGCAGTGGAGGGTGGGCTGCTGGAGTCAAGGCGGCCACTCGGGTTGCTGTTAAGTGGTTGTAGGGCAAAATGATATGGGTCTGATCAAGTTGGTGGCAGTGAGAAGATTCAAGGATATGAAGGTAGGTAGAATTATCAGCTAATAGAAGCTGAGTGGGAAGGATGGAAGAGGAACAGGGAGAGGGAGGTGGGAGGTCCTAGAATAACTGTCAGGTTTCTGGCTTCAGCAACAAGGTGGATACAGGTGCCATTTCCTTAGGAAGAAATAAGGGGTGGGGACATGGGGTTGAAGAGCCTTTCTCAACTGGGGTTGCACTAGAGAAGTAAGCCCTAATGCCATAAGGCCTCCATTGTCTGGAACAATTAACACCTCTCCCCCGCACCTAGAATGGTTATTAGTAGTTATGTCCTAGGGAGAACTGAGGAAAATAGGCACTTGTGTCATTCTCTGCATTGTGTGGTTGAGGCAAAGAACCCCAGTGGAGAAAGGTTACATGTAGGTGTACCTATGCGAAGGCCATGGGAGGGGGTGAAACTGCCTTGAGAAATAGTATACAATTGAATCTATAAATGAGAGAATCAAGAGATGAGGAGCCTGAGAAAGAGAATCTAGAGATGCAATGGGAAAACCAGGAGTCAGGGACTACCTTCCATTCTCATGGAAGCCAAGGAGATCGATCATTTTAAAAAAGAGAGTGGGTTAATGCTGTTTCCCTGTGGTTATTGTGCCCCTGGGGATGCTAGAGGTGATTACTGGAGCAACCCTTTTTAATTTTAGTAGTTACATATTTATATCTATCTATTGCAAGTAATACAGCAACTGTACAGTAATATAAACAATCACAGCTAACAGTTATTTGTGGACAGTTACTCTTTGCCAGCCATTGTTCTACATGCTTTCTATGTATTGACATCTTACCTAATCCTCACACACAGCCCTACAAGGTAGACACTGTTACCCCCATTCAATGATGAAGAAATCGAGGTACAGAGAGATCAAATAATTGCCCAAGGTCATAGAACTAGTAAGAGGCAGAGCTGGAATTTGAACCCAAGTGGTTTGTTTCAAGGAATCCTGCTTTTTTTTTTAAAGTATTTATTTTTTGCTCTAACAAATTTAAATTAAAAAAAGAATAAATTTAAAGGAGTAGACTCAGCTTTCACAAAAATTGTGGAGGAGGCATAGGAATGACTGACAGTTGGGAAAGAATGCCCTGGCTGGAGAGTTCCACTGAGAAATAATGAGAGCAGAGACATACATGATAGTGGGGTATCCGTAGTCTACACATGCCTCAGAAGGTAGGGCTACAGGAAACATCCGGATTATACTCTTCCCTGCCTAGGGGAAGGCTAAACTGCATCCTTTCAAATCTGGGCTCCTATCATAGGGACAGACAACAGCAGCAAATACTGTACTAATTATGAACCAGCAAAATGTATTTGTTATGGGGGTGGGGGGTGGGGTGGGATTGGATTCTTTACCCATGTCCTCACTGGGTTCTTTAAATTTGACCAAACTCTTCAACATTATTACCATCCTTAATTGTATTAGAAAAGTGCTAAATTACCCTCCATGATTGCATTTTGAACATTTCA